TAATTTGTAAAATCTAAAAATTTTCTATTGATTTTTCACAATCTTCAGGTTTTAATGACTCCAAACAGTCTCTAACAATTTTTCTGCAGCTTAAAACCATAAAAGGTTATCAGATCCATGTTTATCTCCTCTTTTCACTTTCTCATCATCTGATTTCGATTGAAAAGAAAAAGGAGAAATGCATTTATAACTCACGAAATGTTGGTACACTGTGAGATTTGCATGTTTTTGATGTCATATGTGCTGTAGCCATAGTTTCTGTTACTTCTTCCTGTTGATTATCTTCGTTGATATTTACTTCTTCTAAATGAGCTAAATACAGATTTCCATGTTGAAATCCAATACTTTTCACACGTAATTGAGTACCGATTCCTAATATAACTTCATGTTCATTTGGATACATAGTATAACCATCAAGATTTTTTGCATTGATAACTTCAATCATGAAAAGTGTTGATTCTTCATTCGGTTTTAAAAATTCTTTGACAACATCTGCTGATACTGAACAAGAACTAATAGTCCACCAAGTTAATACTTGATCTTTCTTATAATCCGTAACGACATTACCAGGTACAGCTCGCCAAACAATTCCTTTTATTGTAGGCAACTTATTGAGTGCTGTATCAAATAGTTTAAGAAATGGAAACCATGGTTTTAACTCATTTCGATCTTCCTTTCTCAATATTTCATTTAATTTTAGATAGAAACTTTGATCATCAGCTTCCATAGTATATAATAATAAAGCAGCTGATTCATCACGAGTAAGATTATGTTCTGATGGATATGTACAATACTTTTTGACTTCTTTTATGGAACGTTCTAATTCATTGATTTCAGATAAGAAAGGATGCAATGCTTCTTCGAGAGAAACAAGTCGATATGACCAATAACCAGCAATTGGCGTTAGTTTATTATTTTCAAGTTGAAACTCTGTAAATCGATTCATTTTTTTATTGAGATCACTCTACAAAAGATGTATATAATCATCTGAATGAAACATAAATATCTTTATAAGTATATTTAAACTCTTTTAATTGTCTTCATTCTTATAACGAATATTTAATTGATTTACTCAATCCACTGTACTTGTCTCATGTCTTAAAACTATACTTAATCTCTCTATTCTGATCAATATATCCTTGACTCGTCTTTTTTCTGATCTAGTGTGTATTAATTACGTATTGTACACGTTTGTAAATATATTCTTATACTTACATTTTCACAGTTTTAATTTTTTCGTGTATTCTAACTATTATATGATAAATATCAAGGATGATCATCAATAAGGATCATATGATCAACAAAGCAGACTTACTTGACCATCAAAAACAAAAAAAAAAGAAAATATAATGGATTGTGTCGAAAATGTAGAAATAAAAATCAAGAATGGTTGCTGGCAGTGTTTTAAAGATGAGTGATGACCAGTAACTATAATTCTGTACACATCTATATAATATAATAAAAAGATAATAGCAATACTTGATGAGGTATTATCTTTTTCATATTAGTCAATTGAATGTATACATGAAACTGATAGTTTCAGTCGACCAGACGAGACTACTTGTAGTTACGTGCAATACTTAACTTAATTTACAAAAGACTGATAAAAAATTGACTAGTTCAACTTTAGAACACAACTTGAGTCACATGAATCTGTTTCATATATTAATTAATGAATTAGTTATTTTGAAAAAAAAAAGAGATTATAGCCCCATAAAGATATACAATATCAAATTTATATAATAGTTTAAGTTTCTAAGAAAAAAAACTTTTATTCTACTTTGGCCTTGATTGGTTCAATAAAGATATTATATATGTTCAGAATTTTATCATTTTAATGTTTTATTATTTGAAGTGTTATTACTTTAAAACAACAGAAAAACCTTTTAATTCTTATACGGCTAATACTATCGATAGACAGACTCAATATCTTATCAAGTTCGGTTCTTTTTTATATCTAAATATTTTAATAGTTACATAAACTGTGCTGAAAATTCTACTGGCTACTCGTCAACAAATAATGATGAAAAATAATTGTCCAGAACTCGTTCTAGAGAATATCACATGGTGTAGTATCAGAATTTGAACACAAGATGAGACCCTGCACATTTATCCCGTTAAATCACATTTTAGCTAAAGTCTTATTTTCAGCTTAGAATTTTAAATTCATTTATTATTAAAAACTTTGAAGAAAATTAGTTTTTTTGATACTTCTCTAATTAATGTGTGTTAATTTGAGAAAAAAAAAAGTTTTCCATTATTCTAGAATATGTTGTTTGAGACATATTTATATAATTAAATTTTGTTAGTCTCAATATATGTTCAAATCTTTTGTCATATTACTAATCATAAATTAAGAGATAGCCACATACCTAGATTTGTATTCAACGATTGCATCTATTAAAACGTCAATTTTATATAAAAATACATATCTCTTGATTATCAAATAATCTATTTCGAAATGTATAAATAGTCTGTTTTTATAAGTTGCCAATCCCTGATTTTAGTTATTTTAATGAAAGATTTTTCAAAAGTTTATGGAAAATAGGTTGTATTATATTTGAGTATAAATTATTTTTTTTTTCAATTGTGAATTCTCAATTCTCATAAAAGGATAATAAAGTAGATACTAATAAAAACTATCATAAATTGATTAACATTGCATAAAAATATAAAAAGGTACATTTCAGCATCACAACCGCACATGCGTGTAAATAAATCAGAAAAAAAATAATGTTCTTGACTCTAATTGGTCAACCTATTAGTAGAATACAATAAAACATTATTTGTAGGTGTCTCTTTGTAAAAAATTTAATCATCTACAAAGTTAATAGTACTTTAATACGTTAAATTGGTTATTTTAAGTGAAAAAAGTAAAATTGAAAATTAATTACTCATTAAAAACGAAAATTTCGAAAAAAAATAAACTTTTGAAATAGCTTCAACATCATTTATTCAGTATGAACTAAATATACAGCTGAATTATGATAATCATGAGCATATCTTAAATTAATATTAACTACATTAGTTTATTTTTTTAGTTTGCTTATAACCATTTAAGTTCTTTGTTTCTCATGTCTGCATGAACAAGTGACGAAAGTCATGATTATTTGTAAAGAATATTTATCATTCTCATCTATTCAATTATTTTCATGTAGCAGATAACATACGTGCAGATAAAGAACTTGTATATAATATAGCAATACCAACTTGTTAAAGATGATGAATTGCAAAAGTGAAAAAAAAAATTAATTTAGAATATCATATATTACTGTTTATTTTTATTAAAAGAGAAAAACAAGCCTTTCAATGACAGAGAAAAAATTAACGCTTATAAGTCACGCCGTAAACAAAAAAAAAATGTTTTTAGTTAATAGGACCCATTGAAGCGTAATCACATTTTTTCTCTCCTTATGACATCACTGTTCTATTTCATATGCTCACTTATGAAACAAATAACCTTATAATTTAATGGTTCTTTCTAAAGGTAATCTATAAATATTGTTTTATAATCAATTGATGTAATAAGATTTATACATATTCACAATCAATAGAGGATAATAAATAATAATTTCTGTTAAATATTATGCTAAGTATTTTTCAGAAAACAAGGTTGACATGAAATGATTAAATCATTTACAACTATTCATAGATATAGATATATAACATGAAAACTACTTATTGTAGTTGAACCAATGATTTTTATTTAAGTCTTATCTATAGTATGTAATAGTTGCCATTCGTTAAAGAATTCACATTGCTAATCAAAAAGAAACTTCATGTTTAATAACAAAAAACTACTCAAATTAATTTGTAAAATAAATAATGATATTGCTTTTGAAATATGATTCATTTGATAAAAAGAGTGATTTTATTTTTATAATACGAAGTATTGAACTATTATTATATTTATGACATATTGCGTATGTTTCGCATAACATACTCAACATAATTGTTATGGAAAATATTTTCAGTATTAACAATAGTAAATTTAGATATATACATATGAATATAATTAATTAAATCGATTAAAATAAATTAATTAGTTAAGATGTTTTATGAATTGAAGTTTATTGTACTCAACTAGGAGAATATCTAAAAACTTCACATGTTCCCCTTTTTCTTTCAATGCTATAAATTTGATAACAGAAAAATATAGTATCATCTCAACTAGAAACTCTTTATTAAAGGTATGATGATGACAGAAAAAAAAGAATGATCATAAAGAATAAAAAATAAAATACCACAGTTATAATGATGATCATTTATCTACTGATTTTAAATATCCAAATATTTAAAGCTATCGTCATTATATTAATTAATATATTCAAGAATATTATTAAATACTATCTAATGACATTAAGTTATTTATATCTTGTTAATATCTATATAAATCGTATTAGATCGCTCATCAAAATGACAAAATCACTTATGAAAAATGATCTTTCATTATCATTTTCTTCTAATATTCTAGATAATATATTGAATCGAATAGAAAAAATGAAAAGTGCATGTAATATTGCTAAACAAGAATATAATACAAAAGAAATATGAAAATTAAAATGCAAATGGTTTTGATCAACAACTGATTGAAACGTCAAAACAATTAACATCATTCTCTAGTAGTAGTGAACATCAAGAATTATTTGATAAAATATTTTCTTCATATATACCACTAATTGATTATTTAATAAAAACATTAATTGAAATCACTATTCATTTAAATGATAATTATAATTATAATTATTATTAACCAACAGCTAAGATAAACATTTCCTGTAATCAATAATAAAATTATTTATATATATACATTGCATCTCAAAAGAACCTTCTGTATTATATTAATTCTTTTAAAAATACTATTGATGAGATAGATATTATTCCAAACAATTACACTTCGTAAATATATGTTTTGAACGAGATCGATAATCCAATGCTTAAGCAAATATAAGTACAAACTCTAATCTCGATAAAATACGATTCTCCAAAGTTAAGATTACAGAACTTTCTATAGGCTGAACTCTTCTACACTTATCATCTACTGATTCAAAGAATAAAAGAACTATTACTATTTCAATGTATATTCATGTTTATTAATGAGAATGTTGTTTTATTAATTACGTACTTCTGTACTCAAATGTATATAGTAAAAATTATGATTCTTTTCTCTAAATAAAGTTAGTTTTTATTCGTTTTCTATAGGTTACTGATACACTTATACCAAGTAGCTCCGCGGTACTTGAGAGCGAAAGTACCACCTGAGTGCCAGTTTGAGTACCCAAACATATATCCATAGTATATTCTACATTTGTAATGCTAGCTCGATTAACATAGACAGCCAATGTAATTTCAACGAGTGTTGGATGTGTGGGTGTGTAGCGTGGGTGTGAGTGTGCGACAGAAGAGATTAACACCCACACCCACTCACACTCACACACCGACACCCTTACCCACACCCACATCCTCACCCTCACCCCACACCCACACCACAGTGTTCAGCTCAGTTGTGGATCAGTTGTGATCCAGTTGTTATTAGGTTATTGTTCTTCGTTCACTACGACGTAGTGAAGCGCTACGATATTGCATAAAGGACGTGAGGATAGATCTCTCAATGTGTTCTTGTAGAGGATGAGAAGATGAATCTTTTGGGAAAAAATTGACTTTGAACAAATAAGAATTAGTAGAGATGTCAGCAAAATACAGAAAGGTTCATTATTCCTGAAACACCTATTAATAACTGGAGCCGTTTTAAAATCATAGTGATTATGATCCAAAACTTGATTTATCTTTACTGTAATCTCTGATGATTTCGAAATCATGACCTATCAAGAACACATTTACTCTTCGAAACGACGTCACTGACAACACACAACTACATAGAAAGACGAGATTGATTGTGATTTTTTTCACAAGCCGTGATTCGTTTCACAGAAGCGATGACAAATTATAATGTGAGGTTGCGATAAAAAATGCATAACCACGTTTTTACAACTGTCATAGATCTTAAATGCTCTACATCGTGAGCAGCTAGTATGTGTTGAGACATGCAATAGTTTCTCGCATCACAGCGCTCATGAGACATAGAACAAATTGTGATCAATAAAATATATGTATGTGGAAGAATGTTTCAGAATGAACAAGTTTTTTCCCTCAAAAGTGAGTGTTATGGAAAAATGATATCAGAGTAGATTAAACTTGTAGAAATTAATTGTACTGTCCGTCACCAGGTAGCAGGAATCAGACTATGTATTCGGTTTTCATAAACCGTTTGTGATGACGCTGTAAAAATCATGATGATAGGTGGTTTATGAAATCCTAATGAATAGCAGTGGTGGACGAGAAGAGTTATTGCATGGAGACTTTCGGTGCGAGTAACAGATACACGTGATTTTGTTTTCAATCTGTGCGAAAATGACAAATGTTAGAAATTGTTCTTTCCGATCTAAATTCAGACGATGTAATAATCATCACAAATAATGTACATTCAATTTTGTGTTATGGCTTTCTGTATGATTCTTATCGAATCATCCTGCTCCTTTACAATATGACTAATAAGAAGAGTTTGCCAAGATCAGCTTTTTCTTTATTTTACCATATGGTGATACATAAACACGTGTGAGGCGTGAAAGTAGTTTGCTTTTGAGTTCTCTTTCATCTCACAGTCATTTTCACATGCACCGAAGAGCGCTACGTATAACTTGCTTTTTATTGTTTGTTTGCCTTTTTCATTCTCTAGGTTATCTATCATCGAATATGTCGGCACTCAGCAGTGAGAAACACTTACTGCATACTACAGACTACAATACTAGTTTCAATACGAATTTGTATCTCAAAGGCGTCTATTCCGGTGTTGATATTGATCCAAATAAAACGCCATTTGCGGCTTTTTTCCTTGAGAATACCGTTCAAATTTTGCACGATGAACAAAAACGTTTAGGCAATGAGAAAGCACTCGAGTTCGGTGGTGGACCAAGTCTATGGCCGTCATTTCTTCTCGCTCAATATGTTGATTCGATTCGATTTTGTTACTATACACAAGCCAATCTCGATGTTGTCACCGATTGGATTGAAAAGAAACCGAATGCTTTTGATTGGACGAGATTTTTCGAATGGGTTCTTGATATTGTTGGAAATCCAAAAGAAAAGCGTATCGAATGGGAATCACGACTTCGAAATGCTCTGAATCAAGGCGGTTTGTCGACATGCAATGTTAACGACCCCCATTGTCCAATATTGAGTGGAAAAGCCAATGATTATGACATTATCTTTAGTAGTCTTTGCTTGGAAGCTGCCTGTTTAACGATTGAAATTTTCGATGAAACAATAAAACGACTTGTTCGTCTACTGAAACCAGGTGGTCTACTTTTACTTGCCATGGTTCGAAATAATTCATATTATTATGTCAATGGAGAAAAATTTTTCTGCTTACCACTTGACGAAAAAAAAGTCGAAAAGGCTTTGCGTGCCACGGGCGAACTTGTTGATATTCATATTGATAGTTGGAATGCGACAATTGATGATAAACAACGCAATACAATATCCGAATTGGATGGAAAAATGGTAATACGCGCACACAAAACTATTTAATGCATAGAACAATTTTTCCAACTCATCCAGACCGTATAAAAACTGAGAAATTTGTAATTTTATTCATGAAAAACATAAAACACTTTAATTTTAAAGATTAAACAATACTTTAAACTTCAATTTTAAAATAAAGTTAAAGTCCTATCCCTAATGATAACAAATGAGAAAAAGTTCCCATGTCGCAAAAACTGGATCAGTTTGGCGGTTAATCGGCAATGCCACCGATTATGGCGGCTTACCGGTGGTAGTACCGGTTTTATCTAAAAGCTGCATCAGGCGACTTTTTTCGATTCATATATTGGTTTTCTGATCAAGGAGAGCCTAAACAAATTCAAAAAACCATTTTGGGAATCATTTTGATCAAATTTCGGCAGATGGCGCTGCAAAATTTCCATTGGCCGCCTGATTTTGCTAATGACTATTTTTTTTACTGTACCACCTATATGGAAACTCAAATTTGGGAACGGAGTCGATTTGGATAGTGTGACACACACAAGCGGCTTAATCGCGCTCACATTATCGAAGAACTACGAAATCGACTTAAATCTATTAGTGTTGACAGACTTTGAAAATTTTCACCCGTTTAGATACAGTAAATCGGATGATTCATCTCTTCCAACAATCACCAGTTAACCGCCGGTTGGGTGTGGATGTGTGTGGGTGTGGGTGTGTAGGTGTCGGGTGTGGGTGAGTGTGGGTGGGTGTGGCTGTGGCTGTGGGTATGTGGGTGTATGGGTGTGGGTATGTGGGTGCAAGGGTGTGGGTGTGGGTGTGTGGGTGTGGAGTGTAGGGTGTGGCTATATGTGGGTCGGTGGGTGTGGATTTGGGTGTGAATGTAGTAACTACGAGTCACACCCACACCGACAGCCACGCCCACCCACATTCGCACGCACGCACACCCACACGCACAGTCACAGCCATCCGCAAGCGCACCCACCCACACCCCACCGACCCTCACCCAATTTCGAGATGGGTGTTGTGTTCTGCTTAATTTTCTTCCAGAATGTAATGTATGACGACATCATCGATACACTCAAAGCAACAAAGAGTGGCAAGAAATGCACAAAATGGTAGAAAAGCAGCAAATATTCGGATGCTTCTTCAATAAACATTTTGTGAGTATAAGTACGCACATAAGTGAAGAGGATATTCTGGATGTCGGTATGCAGATGTTGTTTTTCTCTCTACCCACATTTACACCCGAACCCCACACCTCTCTTTTGCTTATTTTATGCATGTATGAAATGTATTCTGTTTATTTTTTCAAAGAAATTTCCCTGAAAGGTTTTTCGAAGATAGCAGATATTTGTATCAGAATGTAGATTATAGAGTCTTGTGGGTGAGAGCGAAGATAAGTTAGAGCGTTTATGTCGACTATAAGAAGGATGCTGAATGTTAGTGTTGAAAAGGGTTATTTTTGGTCTTTGTTGACGGTTTATTTTTTCTATAAATTGGACAATGTGGATGTTACTATGTGTTAGTGTACATAACTCTCTAAAGTGTGGGTAGTAGTGAAGATGACCCATATGCATTTTTACAAAGTTGAGTGGTTGTGGTGTTACCAAAAATTAGCCATATTCGTTAGTTTTTTTTCAAAGGTATATATTATTTTCAATGAAGTTCAAAAAGCCTTACAGATATTCTATATTTATTTAGACTGATACGTATTTCGAAAAAAGCACGTAGCCCCTCCCCCCTCAGAATAAAAAGGCATGGCCTTCTATTATGTCCCAGTAAATCAGTCTTTTTTGGGTGGCGTTATATTGCACCTTGTCGGAAATTTCTTCACATTTTTCTTTGAAATTGGTATGGCGTTATATTATGTCCAGAGAAGCAAACGGTCCGGGGTGGCCTTCTATTCCGGGTGCCTTTCTATTATAGGGTGGCGTTCAATTTTTTTTGGGGGGAGGGTAAATTCAACACTAATAACTTTTCTCCTTCAATTTATTCATGACCACAGTTTAAGCATACAAATCCGCGAGAATCTTTAATGAATGATTTGGAAAGAATCGGCCGGTGACATTCAGCAAATTTAAAACAATCTTTGTGATATGCCTTGTTTTGAAAGGTGGTATATTTTGTATTATGTGGTATAGGTTTTCTACATTCGGCACATCGTTCAGCAAATAGTAGATCAGCGCAATGCCTACAATACAATTGTAGATCATGGTCAAACGTTGGTTCATTTTGTAGTAATTTATGACAATTTGTACATTTAAAACACTCGACATGATAATCTCGTCTTTCAAAGACTATTCTTGATGATAGAATAGGCTTTTCACATTCAGCACATCGTTTGGCAAACGATTCGCCATAGCAATCCATACAATACGGTTCCTTATTATGGCCAAACATTACTTTGTTTTTCAATAATTTATGACAATCCGTACATTTAAAACATTCACAGTGATAAGCTCGTTTTCTACTGGTTACACCACCTGATAGAATAGGTTGACTACAAGCATTACACATATGAACATTTGTTTCACAATCGCTACACCATGGCTTCTTATCATGCACCCTGAACGAATGAGCCCCATTTAACCAACGATGACAAATGGCACATGTAAAACATTCGGCATGAAACTGTCGATTATTAAAGCCAACAAGATGATGTGCATGTGGGTCAATAACTTGTCCGCATTCACTACATAGAACTAATATTATTCGTAATGACAAGTAGACTTTAAAAACAAATATCTACGCCGCGTGGTAGAGATGACCCTATGCATGTCCATAAGCGGTAGAATGTTTCCATTTCAGAGGAGGCTTAATATATTTCCTTTGAATAATGATGGAAAGATTGAAATAAATTGAGGAGCGAATTTTTAGATCCTGTTTTTAAAACCATTTTCAAAAAGGATTTTCTGCATATATTTCTGTACAATTATCAACATTGTTATGCTATTAAAAATTTTGTTCATTTGTCAATATAGGCATAAAACGCTTAAGCCTTAGCTTAAGAAAATAGAAAAAAATCATAGGTACAAAATTATTTATGACACTCTAATATAAACTTTTCACTCTGATATTTTGTTAAAACGTTCCTGTATCACTTGTAATCATAAATATACATTTGTATCGTCCATAGCACTGAAGCCTTCTATCTCCTACAGTCGCTATAAAATAAAAATCGTCACGTGTAAGTTACCATTCTTATCATTTAAGAACTTGATAATAGTTTCAGTATTAGCGTTGTCACAGGGTGTAGGTATTAAACCTTTCTCTAGACTACTTCAACATCCACACCCTTTTCTTGTCATTTCAAAATCTTTCAAAAGTCATACGAAGAAAATTAGAAAAACTTTACGAATTCAATGCATTGATTATCCTCAACATAAAGAAGTCGCAATTAGTATTATATGAAACCATTTGAAGAAGACACAATTATCTAGTTATGTCTAACATCTAAGATCAAAATGAATATTACTTTTGGAGAAACACAGAGTTATGACTTTGTTCAAATGGTGTCAATATCAGAGCTTTCCAAGGCTTAATGGCTTCGCCACCTATGTTCATGTCTTTTGTGATCCACTCATGACTTCTGAATTTACCTCGTTCAGTCGAAACTTTTACGTTTTGCGATAACACCACAAAGCTTGCGGTACTCTCATCTATACCTTCTATGGCAGCGAGACTGTATCATACATATGATCCAAGTGTGTTCAATTCTGCATACATCCTATTATCCTTCAGATTTATATACCTTTCTCGATAACGCGCTACACAGACTTTCAATGCGGTAATCATATCAACATACCATCTCTTGCAATTATCTTCCTAGGATGTGTTTAATGCCCCTATACAATCGCACGAATTCATTGTATTATTCTATCACTATTGCTAGTAAACAAATCCACTAAATTTATCCATTGTTTCGTCTCTACAGAGTAACAATGATTCTGTTTGCACTTTCGAAAATACTTTTTGAAATTACAAATTCTTTTGCACTCGAATTGGAAGTGGAAATTTTTCCGTTTCCGTACCTTTTTCTTCTATTTTTCTACTAGTTGAGGAACAAACGAAAACTCATATTTAATATCTTATGCGCATAAAAATATCTATATAATCTTCTTAATATGTTTAGTCTGAACTTTTGTGTAACTTACTTGAATTTTTAGCCATTTATTCTACTTGTAGTTTTGAATGACGTTGACTTGAGGAAGCACGTTTTTCGGATGATTTTGAAGTATCTAAAACATAAGAGAAAGCAAATGTGCGCATTCACTTACTTGAAGAGTGGGTTAATGATGGATTTTTCTTTTAACTAAACGTGGGTTGATATATTCTCAATTACCAAAATGACGATAATTTATTAACAGAATAAATTTCTAACGAACCAAACTTATTTTAGTATAGTCAAGAGGCTTCTTATATCATGTCAAACGTACCAAGATACAAAAGTATGATATATGAATACGATTCTACTCCTCTTTAGCGATTAATAGTTGTTAGTAGGGGTGGACCATTTACATTAATTTGAAGTTAAGTTTAAGTTTTTCATTTAACACTTATAAGTGTTAAGTGAACTACTTAATTAATGAACTTAATTAAGTCCCCGTTAAAAAAAAACGCCCCACCCCTATTGGTTAGCGTCAACAGATAACACTAGTTGTTGTTAATCCTTTATTGTTGTTTTTCTCATTCTTTTGTCCGTTCATTTTGTTTTATTCACAATGTGTATTTTCTCTTCTCTCTCATTTCTCTCTTCGCAACTTTTTTTACCTTTGAGTTCAGTTAGTCATTTTTCCTTCTGTTGGTAAGACACATCTTCTTTATATCATTCTTTCTGGTTATCATTCACTGCATTATTTTATCAAATTATTGTCCACGTACACTTAGTGGACAATAAGCTAAACCTCGCGAATATCCAAGTATCATCAACATAAGTTAGTTTGCCTCTTCAAGTGGTGGACTTCTGTTTGATTGCTCTTAAAATATCATAAACGTAAGATTACACAAATTTAACATCGGCATCAACTCGATTCAAGAAGTTTCTTTCTCTAATCACTAAGATTGTCCTTTCAATAGAATAAACTAAGTATTTTAATTAACTTACCTATAGATTTCTTTGGTTTACTATTATTGAACGAAGAACTTAATGGAAGCTTTTTCTTCAGTTCACTTGCTTTTTGACGCCATTTCAAAGACTCCTCTTGATGACCAGCCTGCAATTCAGTTGTGGCCAATTCCATATACAAATCAATAAGTGTTGGATCATCAAGTGAAAGTTGATTTAACATACGCTTATAATACTTTTCCGCGAAATTTGGCTTTGCCATCTCCCACAAAAATTTTCCTAGTATGAGAAGGTTTGTTTCGTCATGCACAAATTTCTCTTTCATATCCATGAGAACTTCTTTCAAAACATGTTCTTCATCATTACACAATATCATTCGAACGATCCAAACTTGGTTAATATCGTTACGCTTAACTTTGTCTAATCGAAAAATCGAACCGATCATGAAGAGTACTTCAGCTTCATCTTTATATTCGCTCAATTCTCCAAGAGCGGCAAATGGTCTCGTTATAGCCATTTGAGGATTAGCGTCAATTTCGAATAACACACTAGCTAAGTTTTCTGTATCATCAGGTGTCTTAAGAAATTTAAGAGCATTGTCTTTATAGATACTAGTAGAAAAAAATGAATTGATCGAAATGAATTGACCACATGACTTTCTTAAAGTTTCTAATTCATTATTTGATATCATTTGACAACGATAAATTCGAATAGAATTGCGAACTTGACGATTTTTCAATTGTTGTTGAATATCAGCAATATATTTACGAAAAAGAAATATTGCATGAATATCTGACTGACGAAGAGCAGCATTAAGTGTCTTGTAAAAAAATGATTCTCGCGTATACCATCGTAAAGCATTTTCAGATGAATAATGCTCTTGAAATTCACCAATATTACTCAGTTCAAAATTATTACCTTTATATTTCTGTTTACAAAATTCTATCAATTCTTTTTGATCAGCTTCAGTATATTTTAGTCGAATAAGGCAATCCATAAAGACTTGTGAAAAGAGAAAATTATTATTTATGCCTGTTGTTGATACGCCTTCTGTTAATGTATTTGTTGTAAATATATTTATCGATAGAGGTTCTTCCATCTTCTTTTGAATTTTATGATCACCTTGAATCCGTTTTATAAGTTCGTTAAGTTCAACAACAACGCCTTTTACCTATGAACAAGAACAATAGTAAAATTAAACAAAGAGTATTTTCACATTGTATTTACTTTTCTATAGTTCTGAGTCCATATTTTATGGGCTACTACATCCATACAATAGACATATATTGATATAACTTGTCGAAGAAGATGAATATTAGGAACGATTTTGCGTCCTAATTGACCACTGACAACCATAACAATTCGTTCATTCGAAGACTGTGCTTTAATATATTCCTCACATTCATGAACATCTTGAAATTTTACCAAATGATTTATAATTGAACGCAATTGCTGTTCAGTATGACGACCATCTGGACTGCTTGATCCAGCATCTAGCCAAACAAGATGAAACATTTCTAGAAGCATACCATCTAATGTTTTGTCAGCTGCAGAAGTATGTTTCACTGCGGTAGCCATTTCTTCTTAAAAAAAATTAAAAAAAAACTGAATTAAAACATACATTTCTGTGTATTCTTATTTTGATTATGTTGAATAGAACTATCACGATTAGTGGAAAGGCAACTCAAATTTAATTTCACACTTTAACTGATCGGAATTAAAGAGAAAAAAATCCAATTCTAAATAAGAAATCCAAACAAGAGAAACTTCCAACTTTTTACAATTCACCTGTGTGAAATCAGTTTTGTTTCTGTTTTCTTATGAATGTTGTCGTTTCTTTTTCTCTTTTTCATTCTTCTGCCCGTCAACATTTCGAAGCTATTCTCCGAGATTTTGTGTGCTTCGTTCTTTTAATTTTTTTTGAATATGAGTACATTTCAAATTTTACTTATGTCAATACCAATTGCAAAAATCAAGTCTTTTTATTTCGACATGTACTTGAGCACAATGAAAAAACTAATATGGGTGTGGGTGTGGGTAGGTGTGGCTATGGCTATGGATGGAGTGCAGGTGTGGGTATCGGTGTGAATACCTTAGTAAAATGTACCGATACCCACACCCACCCACACCCACACCCACACCCACGCCTACCCACCCACACCCACTCACCCACCCACACCCACCCACACCCACACCCACACTCACCCCCACACCCACTCACCCCCATACCCACCCACACTCACACCCACATCCCACACCCATCCACACCTCCACCCACACCCACCCACACGCACACCCACACCCACACACCAATCCACACCCCCACCCACACTCACACACACCCACACTCACACACACCCACACCCACACCCAAGTCTTCATTTTTACATAATCGATATTTAGATGTTGACAGTCAATATCGTACTTGTCGGTAAAAATTGAAGATTTCGTCCAAATTATTTTCTAATTTATTTACGAAATTCAAGTATTGATAGTCTTCCATTCTTTCCAAAATGAACAAAGAAATAAAGTTTCATGAATATATGATACGTCCTTTTGTCTACTAAATAATAAATGTATGAATGCAAGATATAAAAAAATAGACATAGTTCATTTATGAAGATGTTGGTGGTGAAACAAATTTGCCACTGAATAAAACAATATTTTGTCGAATTTCACGAATAAAAAATAAGAATGGTCGATCAACTTTGAATTCAATAGGCGATGATTCTGAAAAGTTTAATGCACAACCAAAAGTCATAACAACCGCTGTAGCTGCTGCTGCTTCTGATCCTAAATGAAATGATAGAAAAAAATATGTAAAGGAAAAATCGAAGAATTTTCAATCATAATTTTAAATAAATATCAAATATTCATCGCAAACTTATACCACTTTTTGATTCTAACGTATTAGAAACTTGAACTCTATCTCTGAAAAAGTTTTCATAAGTAATTTATCAGTCACGTTCATAAAAGTAAATATTGAAATACATATTATGACGATAAATATGTAGGTGTAAGAAAATTGCCAGTAAACAGTGTTCGACGTATTGAGAATAAGATTATAATGAAATTTATTTGTCAGTAAGATCTTTGAAGAGTCTTATAGTAGAATTGCATGTAAGATTTTAGAGGCAACGTTTTTTTTTTTCCGGTATGATGTTGTCTGATGTGCAAGATCTTACGTTTGATTTCTTCAGTGCGACAAGTTCATTTCCATGACTACTGTATCTGATTCAAAAAAAAGGAATCATTCGGTTTACACATTAGTAAAACTTCCAGTTAACAATAATACAAAAAAGAGAAACGAAAAAAAAAAGGTGTATTTGAAATTCATTGATTAAAACGGATATTTTCATCGATTTCATTGCATGATTTTTGATTAAAAATCAAATTCATTGCACTTGCTTAATTAAAAACGTCGCTTTTAATCAGTGAATTTGAAACACATCAATTTCAATGTCCGTTTCATCATCTGAAATGCCATTTTTTAAAATGTTTTTGACATCACATTCACGAAATTTTTCTGATTTTTCGAGTCACTGGGTATTTTATATCCTAGTAACACCAAAACTTGAATACACGAATTCAGAAAATTCCTAAAATATTCTGTCATATTAGCAGAGAAAAATTCCTATTATGAGTTAGTTCAAACTAGATCTCACATAAAATAACCAATAATCAGTATGACGACCATTAGTGTTTTTTTACTACAGGAATATGCGATGAATACGAACATAAAATAATTTAAAATATATTAGTACTTGTCTTCATGTTTGTCAAAACATATGAGATATGTGTGGTTCTAGAGCCTCTTCATAGTAACGATTGCGTTCCGTCTTTTATAGCAGTTTTATTCAGCTTCATTTTTGACTACTGTTCCAACATTTCAGATCAAGTACACAGTACTCTGTGATATTCCTCATTTTTAAATGCGATCTAGTAGTCATTCTTAGGCTCCAATGAGACAGAATCAATTTTAAAAATGGTTCTATCAGTCTCTAGAACTTGGCATAGTTTTTTAAAAATACGAAAAAAAAAGAATGAATACCTATCAAGATTTTCAGGTTGGTAAATTAGCTATTTTAGATCTTTGTCTGATGAATATCTCACGATAATATCATAGCTTCCTCGCTAATGTTTTAACATATTATGAAAACCTCATATGGCTTCGATGTCTCTCTCTCTATTTCAATCTGTATCAACGAACTACTTTATAAAAATAAACACACTTACCTTTTTCATCTACATCGATAAATGCTTTATGAATAACCTAAAATTTTATTTGAAAAAGAATAGTATTTTCTTATTAATAATTTTTTTTCTACCTTGCTAATGTATAAACCATTTTTATCATTTTGTTCACTGAAAATGCCAGTAAAATTTGCTTTGGTATCACTAAATGCATTTATCATTCCAAGTCGTATAAGAACATCATTTAATTCAAATGTAGCTTCCATTTTAAATTTTGGTAAATATAAAAGAAGTTCTTCTCTTGTTGTTTTTTCATAACTTAATATTTGTTGCATTAAATTTGTTTTTGATGCTAATTTTTGTTCAACTTCATCTAATGAGACATTTTGTTTAGGTAAGATTACAGTAAAAACAAATTCAACTTGATCATTATCCCTTTGATATGGCAAATGAGCAATTTGTACATGTAAATTATTGTCTTCAGCATAATCAAATTTTTCTTTTTGATACATTAATTTTATTTTTGAAATATTACCATTAGTTTCACGAAAATCAGCATTTGGATTTGTTGAATGTTTTTGAAATTGTTTTAGCCATGTACCCTATTATACGATTAATAAAGAAAAAAAAGAAAAAAGAAGAAACTATTGTACTTTCATTTATGAAAAATAATATTCACTTTAAAATAAATACAATTAACAATAATTAATCGTGTATCACGTGTAACATCATTTTTCGAAAGTAAACTTTGAATTAATTTATTTGTTTGTTCTGCAACCCATGTATTTTTTGTTTCAACAACATGAACACTATTATTTTCAAAATCTTCAAGTTTAATATCACTTTTAAATGAATTTTGAACAAGACTTAAATATTCCTGGTGAAGTTTATATGTTTTTTGTGCATAAAGACGATTGACTAATTTAAGTTGAATTAATTCATTTTGCTCAGCAATTGAAAAAACATGCATATTTTTTTCAGCTGTTTTTGTTAAAGCATCTATTGATGATGCATCAAGGACATGTAACATTTGTTCTAATGTTTCTTGTCGAACACCAACTGTACACTTTGACATAGCAAGAGCAATACTTGTTGGTGAAAGAAATACATTTTGATTATCGTTATTCTTGTTAACAGTTAAGTAAATTTTTGTTGCCAAAATGTTCGAAGTCTATAGCCATTGATGACACGGATAAAGCTAACGTTTTTTTGTATATATATCAGAAAAAAAGGAATGAAAGAAACGAATTTTTGTGGTTACTTTTTATTCTTTCGTTTTTATATGAATATTTACCTTTGTTGTATTTGTTTCTTTTAGAATATAGAGGACTACACGTGAAGATTTTTGTGTCGCTTTTATGAATAATCAAATGACTCAGCGATAAAGAACAAAAGAGAAAGGGGTGTGGGTGTGGGTGAGTGTCGGTATGGGATTTGGTGCGAACAAAAAGAACACCCACACCGGCTCCGAATAGAACTGGTATTGTTCTATTTTCTGTCATATAAAGTCATCAGTGATATCAATGGTCGAATGGAGAACAAACAATACTGAACACAGTGCATACAGCACATTAATAATTTAGTTTTGTTATTTGGTTTGTTGTTCGCTGTTTTTTCATGAATAACATCAGTAAGACATAGAAACAATTGACTATCTGAGACTTGAACCATAAGGTTTTCTAAATAGAGTTTTAGAATTTTCACATTCCATCTTATCATAGAAAATTTTTATATCAGTAAATAGTGTGGAAAAATTGATAATAGAATCGGAAATGAAAACAATGTAGGTAAAAAAAAAATGAATGTACTGGATTAAATTGATAGAATTGGATAATTTTTTTTGCTTCATATAAGATTTTATTTATTTTTTACAACAAAACGTTGAATAATCAGAAAACTAATCCGTTAATCATGTTGTAATAGTAGGATGTGTTCGTACACAAAACAAGCACTGTGGTCGTAATATGGAAACGCATTGGAAAAGTAGAATGATGAGAATAGCGAATATTATGATGATTTCTGATGTGACCGCCAAGCCGGACACTAACTTGTGCCAGATAAAATCATTGCGAGCAGAAGTTAATATCCGGCTTATATTTTAGTAGTCGTTGTCGAGTATCGGTTCGATCAATAAAGCACAAATATGTGCTATTTATCTAAAAAGATAGAAAAAACTCAGATTAAAATCAAACCAATGGTATTTACATGCCTATATTCACCAAGCTCACACAACAAAACTTATTTCTAGTTTCGCTGTTTCTCTTGAAACGAAATAGGACAATATCATTTGTATGAAAATATATGTAGACTGACTATGTTTAATGATGTCTTTTGTTTTTAAATGAAAATGGTTTTCTTATTGATGAATCCAATTTCGGCAAAAGAGATCAACTTATATAGCTCTATCCAATCAGGAAACCATCACTCGTCATTTTAGTTATAGGGTAACATAAGGTCAGTCACAGCTTTATCCATATCAACAATCAATCAACAAATTTTTTATCGTGTTATTTTCTTTGTCAAAGTGTATCGTTATTTTTATCATTAACAGATAGATCGCCGTGTCCTTTTCTCCCAATTTCTTATATGGCAATCTAATTTCAACTACTTTTTTCAGCAATAATCGATCGTGATGCTTACTGCCATTTTGTATTAATTGCTGTTCTTAGAACTGATTTCTAATGCTTAATACGCAGTTATTCGTTGTAGTTCTTTTGCTGGAGGAAAGAAATAATCTTAGTTAATTGGAAGTAACAGAAGGGATGCTCTTCCTTAATGATCTACAGAACACGAAACATCATAGATACATAAAAGAAGATCAACGGTTTATTTTAAAATATGTCTCTGGCTTTTTTTTGAAAAAAAGATTGTGTACTTCTTTCATTGCTATATTTAGTTTTGAAACTCTTTTTTATCAAACAACCCATTGAATAAAACATATTCAACAATTCGAAACATCAAACTAGATAAATTTTCAAAAACAATGAGTCTAAGTTTATTAGAATTTGATTTTACTCTAATTGTTCACCGGAATCGTCAATGATGCTTTTTAAAAACAGAAAATAACATAAGATCGATGAAATAATCAACATACTTTTCTGAGATATTCGAGGTTCATTATTCAAACAAAATGTTATCATTGAAAAGATTCCTTATGAATTTATAATCGTATTCATTTTTGTGGGGAAAAAATAGACTGAAATACATATATATAAGATATTACTATAATAACCTTCAAAATTATCATTTTTGATGAATGTTGTCTGTTTTAAGATGTAAATCGATGCTAGATTTATGATCTAAGTTTAATACATTGGAAAGCTTTATGTAAATACATTCGATGAAACATTTTTATTAAAACCAAATATTATCATAATTGTTATTCTCAATCGTTCTATTTCTGTAGCCTGTACTGCTAACAGATTTCTTAACCGAATTTCAACCGTCAGAGGTGCAGAATCTACCTATGTGTGAGAACGGGCGTTCAGAGAAGTTTTTTCGGAAGGATGTGGGTTATTTTCATTCAATGATTCACACCCACACCCACATCGCACAATACCTACACAATCAATTCTAATCTTTTTGATGCATTTGTCCTAAGTCAGCTTAAAATCGGTAAGAAAATTCGATCATCTTTTCTTTATCAATCGCACAATCACTCATATTTGAACGTCAATCTAATTCATGGGAACTAATTATAAATAGCCGACATTCTATAATATATATAATTGAGTATAGAAAACAAATACTCTATTGATCTTTCTAAGGCAAGAACTCTATGTAAAACATATTGAGCGAACGTAATTGATATCGTAGAAACGTTCATCCAGTTCATGCGCTAGTATCTAATTGAATGTAAAAAATTTCATTGCTCACATTCAGATATGAACGAAAGAACTGATGAAGCATTGATATCTAGAAAATCTCTATAAGATCGAAATATTTTCGATTCATGTAAGGAAATAGTAATATGCATTTTTTTTATTTCAATTTTATTCTTCATTCTGACATACACATAAGCATAATTTTAATAAGGATACGATCTTGTATTAGCGATGTCCAAACCATTTGCGCACTGCTCTGCATGTTTTTCATCAAGATATTTCAACAAAACGGATTCGTAGGCCTTTTTTCCTTTGTAACGTGCTACATCTTCAGGCCAACTTCGTATAGCTGAAGCTAATCGTCCGGGAACGTCTGGTTCTTCGGCAATCTCGATGATGGGAATAAAATATGGGCGAATGGTGAATAGAATGGCTCCACTACGTGGTAATCGTCGTAATGTTTGTCTCTCACTACGAAGATGCATCTTTTCAATAGGAGGATCTGGTTGTGCATTGTCCCATCCAATACCGAACGCATCTTCAGGTCCAATCGACTCGGACCAAGCTAAATGTTCATCTGTTTGAATAAAATAATTATGTCGAATGACTGAACTTTCAGGTGTCAATTTTTGAAAGAATCGTTCCATACTGAACTGTAATTTCTCTTTAAATTTAGGTACATCTCCTGAAATATGAATCTGAGCCAGAGGCATATTAAATTTATCTTCGAGACGCCAAAATCCAGGAAGAATAATAGAACCGGCTTTAAGATAATATTTTCCATCCGGGCCTTCAATCATCAAGGCTAGATCGTCTTGAATAAGAAGTCCGGCATATTTCAGAGGATCGTCCGACTCAATAGGGTACAATTCTCCTGTTGTTTTGATTCGAATTTGTTTGTGTTCACTACTGAAATCGAATTCGAACAATGATGGATAACGGCAGACTAAATATTCGCTCAGTAGTTCCATGGTTTCAAGTGCGGCATCTTGCGCTTCAGGTGCTGTCTTGCATAGACGAGAAGCTCGTTCAGTGGCTAAACGAGCTTTTTTTTCTTCATGAAACCGTGTCCATTGATTATCAAGTTCGATCCAATCGTCCAAATCAAGACGACGAAGACCCATGGTAACAAAGTAGTCAGGTCCATATTTAAATGGACGATAGGGCAATGGTTTTGTTGTCTCAATCGACCAATCTGGGTAGGGAGGTGGAGAGGGAGCTCGAAAATCGACCGGCGTCCATTTACCAAATTCATGTTTATGAGATGACGAATGACGTCTTTTCTTATGAGACGACGGACGAACTTCTTTTTTCCTATATCCAGATCGAATCACATAGAATAAAATTCCAATAATGATTATTAATATTGACCAGTAGATGAGCATTGTCATGGAGTTCTACAAAAATGATTCAACATTATATGATAAGATTTTCTCAAGAAAAAGAATCTTTTATAGTTCAGAAATGTCGATACTACTAAAACCATCTGAGATCATCGAAAATAACCAAATACATTATCATCTAATTCTCAGCGGTCTCAAACAAATCGAAAAAGAACCAAGGAAGAAGTGAGAAGATAAGCCCTTGTCTTGGATCATCTAATTTTTTTCTTGCTGGATGAAGATATAGGTTTGTAGCATTTGAGTTGGTGAACTATAAATGTCGCCAAAAAGTGTGATGACTCTCATACATAACTTGTATCATCATCGAAAGAAAACAACATACACGAACAGATTATATCACAACAAGAAAGAATCAGAAAATAAGAAAGACACACGTCGTACACATGTGCAGGACTCTTCAGGTAGATAGAACAGAGCACATGAGAAGAAGAAAAAAAAAGAGAACCATGGCGAATTAGAAATAGAACGATAAGAGATAGATAGAGAGAGAGAGAGCATATTCCAAAGTCAGAGGTTGATAAGTGCGCTCGTCGTATGATGCATAGAACATAAGCTGGGCTGTATTTTGATTACAAAAAATTACATAAATGATCTTTTCTTCACTCAATAACAAGTGGACCACACAAGCTCGACCAGTCTCAATGGATTTATTTTGGGCCAGTCATCAATCTTGAGAGTCTTATATCTTGAAGAGTAGCGCATATCGGACGGTCAAAACTTTTCTTCTAGTAGAATCGATCATGGGCTGCAAGAATGTTTATTATTTGTTCGAGAAAAAAGGATGATCCCTTGCTCAAGATAGAAGCCATCTTATTCGGATAGAAAAAAATCCTTTTTTTTCGACCGACTATTTAGCTGACTTTTTTTTCTTGCGAATTTGCCACTTTCACACTCAAACGAACTGCATATTCAGCACTAGGATAAAAATCTGAGTAGACTTTTAGATGATGCTCTCTCATTTCTCATTCTATTTTTAAGTTTTTATAGTTCTCTGTTCTTCTCCTTCTGATGTTTTCTATCTTATTTAAATGCCGAGTATCTACACATGTGTATGCCGTGTGTGTGACTTTCTGTCGTTGATGATATAGTTATGTGTGCAAGTCATCATACTTTTCGACAACATTTATATATCGTTAGACTCATCAGCTCAAATATTAGCAAAACTTTATCTTCATCTTGAAAAAAATTTAGTGCTGTAAAACAAGAGTTTATACACTCTTCTTCCTTCTTTAACAGAGTGATTCCACTGTGAGCAGCACTCATTCAGAAACGTTTTCATGCAAAAGATAAATTTCAATCGAATATTTCTGTATCGGTTACGCGAAACTTTTCAGTGATACCTTCAAAATATCCTTGAGTATCACATATGTTGCGATGAAAGAAGTCATTCTTTTATCATTTTTCTCTTCTCCTGATAATTCAAACTGAGTAAAGAGAGGCGTTGGTGTAATTTTATGTATCACAGTACATCATCAATAGATGCTGGCCATCAAGTACAAAGTTTCTTCGTTTATACTCTTGCTGAATACCGACATTATAAATAGAAACACAACTATTTTCTACTAAATCAGATTCCTGCCTTTGTTTCGAGATCGAGAGTGTGGGTGGGTGTAGGTGTGGGTGTCGGTGTCGGTGTATTTGTAAGTATTTTATCAAGAAACACACCCACACCAACACTCCACCCACCTCCACACCCACACCCACCCACACCCACCCACA